TCCACAGCCCCCCGTGGCGTCCTCAGGGATCTCCTCCTACTTGTTCCCGCAGTGCGCGGCCGTAAGCACCCAACTCTGGTCCACCAGAACGCCCGCGCAGTGGAACGAGAGGCCGTTGAAGAGCGAGACCTGCCAGGGCTGCGAGCCGCGCGCGCATGGGGCGCCGTAGGCTTCGGGGTCCAAGCGCGTGTCGTTTTGGGGGAGCAGCACCGCCTCCGCGGCTGGAGAAAGAAGATGAGATCAGAGCATGGAGGGCAGGGGCTGGAGCTGGGGTCGGAGGTGGACCGTGGGACTGGACTGTGTTCTGGACAAGGCTCACAGCCAGAACGCGAGGGTGGTAGGGAACAGCTGGGGGTTCCGCGTGCACCGACGGGAACGGGAGGAGAAGCGCGTGAAAGTGGAAGGGAGCTGGGAAAGGGTGGCGTGGAGTAATGAGGGCAGGGGCTGAACGCAGCGCGCCAGGAGAGCTGGCTAGAACGCAGCCCGTCCGCAGAGGGGCGGGGATGGAACGCGGAGGGGAGGTAAGGGAGCGGGGATGGAACTCGGGGTGCTGGGAGGAGAAGGGGTGGGAATAACAAAACGGGATTGAACATCGGGGATAAGGGTGGGGCGCAGTGGTTTACGCCTGTAATCTCAGTACTTTGAGAAGCCGCAGCGGTTGGACTGCTTTAGCCCGGGAGTTCAAGACCAGCCTGGGCAACATAGCAAACCCAGTGTCTACAAACACACACACACACACACACTAGCCGGTTGCAAAGGCGTGCGACTGTAGTCACAGCTACCTGATAGGCTGAGGTGGGAGGATCGCTTGAGCCCAGGAGATTGGGCCACTGCACTCCAGACTGGGCGACAGAGTAGACCCTGTCTCAAAAAAAAAAAAAAAAAAAAGCCCGGTGTGGTGGTGCATGCCTGTGGTCCCAGCTACGCCGGAGGCTGAGGATAGCTTGAGCCCAGGAGGTCGAGGCTGCAGTGAGCTCTGATTGGGCCACTCTACTCCAGCCTTGGCGACAGAGCACGACCCTCTCTCAAATAGAAAAGGAAGGAAAGAAGGGAAGAAGGAAAGAAAGGGAGAAGGAAGGAAGGAAAGAAGAAAGAAAAAGAGAGAGAGAGAAAGCAAAAGAGAGAAAGCGAGGGAGAGGGCAAAAAGCGGTAAGGCAAGACTTCGGATAAAATAGGGTCGTGTAAAAGGGAGGGGCCGAGAAGGAGAAGGAGAAAGAACGCGGCGAGGAGTCCACGGAAAAAGCGAGGATCCGGGTGGCAGAAATCGGACGGGGCCTGAGTAGGGCAGGACCCCCAGGGGCCAAGCCAGAAGAAGGGCCCAGCTGACTTGGGGGCGGGCCCTGCCCGGAGCGCTGAGTGGGTGCTGGGGTCCCGGGGCAGGAGAGGTGCGCGGGGCTTGGTGACGGGAGCGCACTCTCCTCCCGCCCGCGCCTCTCGCCGCCCCCTGGCCCCCGCCTCACCCCAGAATTGTGTCATCAGCAGCGGCAGCAGCTTCGCCAGTGTCCTGGCGCTAGAGGCGGCGGAGAGGTGGAGGAGCCGGGGTCTCATGGCCCAGATCTGCTGGGGTGTGTGTGTTGGGGGTTAGGTTAAAACAGATACTCCCTTAGAGACCCCGCACCTCACCGTGCCCATGCGCCCAGCCTGAGACACCCCAGCCCGCCAGCACCCTTTTGCCCTGCAGGGGCGGGCAGACGGGAGATTCTCGGACTGGAACGGCGGTAACGAGTGCAATTACCCTAATGATGCCCCTCGCTGCACCTTCCCGTCCTCCCTGTGCGGAGGGGAGCACTCTCGGCGCCCCGGCTTCCCCGGCTGCAGCCACGCCGCGCCCGCGGTTTCCTCCTTCACGCGCGGGGTGGGGATCCGAGGCTCGGAGCCAGTGGAAGCCTCTTTCTCAATCTCTCAGCGGGGGGACTTCTGCGCCCCGCAGATAGAGAAACCGAGGCTCCAAGCAGGCTCCTGCCCGTGGCCCGGGGGTCCCCACCCATCCTCTCGCAATCCACCCCCACCCGGGTGGGGTGCAGGCCGCTTCACCTGGGAGTCGCCGACAGGAAGGAGGGAGGGAACCCAGGCGTGCCTCTGCCCTGCCTGTGGTTCGCTGCTGGTATCCTCTGTCCAGGGACCCCTGGCCGGACATTCCCTTTTAACCCCAAGGAGTCCGGAAGCTTCTCCACCCTCACCCACCCCTCCCCGAGGCTCTCTCCCTCCCTTTCCCTCTGTCTAATTATACGGTGGGTGAGGCTGGCACTCCTGGGTCCCAGATTCCTGCTCTGGGAGGCGCCCTGGAATACAGGCTTCTCCCAGTGCCTGAAACACCCCCTTTCATCCCTTTTGGAACTGGCTTCCGTGGGGATTCCCCAAGTCCCCCGTTCCAAGAAGGCTTCCCGGGTTCGGGGAGAGGGTTCCATGTCCCCAGGGAGGCTGGGGGTGGCGGGATGAGAGGCGACTGAGAACGAGGAAACCAACGGGAAGTGCATACCTTGGGTGACAAAGTCAGAAGCCAGACTGCGGAAGAGGAAGGAGGGAGGCCCAGAGATAAAGCAGATTGAGTAGGAGGGACAGAGACTGGCTTGGAAAGGGAGATTGTGATAAACTAAGGCTAAAAGAGGTGGGGGGCACAGAGGCTAAGACACACAGAGACAAGGACAGAGGGAAATCCACGCCTACTCTGTGGCCGTGAGCGAGCTCTGTGTGTCCAGTGACTAGCCCGTGTGCGTGGTAGGGCTGTGGCTCTGCCTCATGTCCATGTGTGGCCACCTCACACCCTCCCTGCCATCTGCATGCCACCAGGTGACACACACGGCCCTGAATCACAGGAGGTCAAAGCGTCGAGGGGCATCAGCATCGCCTCAGCCAACTCCCTCATCTCAGGTGAGGAATGGGAGGTTCAGAAAGGGCAGTGACTCACAGGAGGCCACACAGCAAGTCCACTTAACAACCAGAAGGCCCTGTTTCCACTCTGGGCTCCTGTTCCTCCTGCCAGCCCCTCTCCTTCAAGGTGAGAGACCGTGCCAGGAGATCCTGAATTGGCTGGGTGCTGTGGCTCATGCCTGTAATCCCAGCACTTTGGGAGGCATGAGGTCAGGAGTGCAAGACCAGCCTGGCCAACATAGTGAAACCCTGTCTCTACTAAAAATACAATTACTCAGACATGGTGGTGCAGGCCTATAATTGTAGCTACTAGGGAGGCTGAGGCAGGAAAATTGCTTGAACCTGGGAGGCAGAAGTTGCAGTGAGCCGAGATTGCACCACAGCACTCCAGCCTCGGTGAAAGAGCAAGACTCCATCAAAAAAAAAAAAAAAAAAAAAAGAGACAGAAGGTCCTGAGTTCTGGATTTCTGTTGGACATCCTCTTCATAGGTTGTGTGACTCAGTGCTGGCCATCTGAACTTTCTGAGGTGTTGTTTTATATGCGCTAACTAATCCTGCCACGTGGCTATCCAGTCTTGGACATGTCACAAGATGGAGGAGTTACATTTCTGGCTATATATATATATATATATATCGGAAACATATATATATAAATAATAATATATACATTATATTATTATATATAATATATTATTTATATATTAAATATTATTTATATTTATTTATATAATATATATATAATATATATAATAATAAATATTATATATATATTATTTATTATTTTTTTTATGGAGTCCCGCCCTGTTGCCCAGGCTGGAGTGCAGTGGCATGATCTCGGCTCACTGCAACCTCCACCTCCCAGATTCAAGTGAGTCTCCTGCCTTAGCCTCCCAAGTAGCTGGGATTACGGGTGCCCGCCACCACATCCAGCTAATTTTTTGTATTTTTAGTAGAGAGGGGAGTTTCAGTATGTTGTCAAAGCTGGTCTCAAACTCCTGACCTCGTGACCCGCCCACCTCAGCCTCCCAAATTGCTAGAATTACAGGCGTGAGCTACCACACCTGGCTGGCTTTATGTAATTTTAATTGTAAGAGCCACGTGTGGTTAGTGGCTACCTACCATATTGGCCAGCAGAGGTCTCCACCACCTAATTATGTATCAAGGAAGTTGGAAAAAAACAACGACGAGCTCCTTTTGCTGGGTCTTAGAATGTGCAGGCTGACTGACTCCTTTACTTACTGTGTTATCATACTTTTGCGTACACAGTTTTACAGATACGGAGATAAACAGCCTTCCTCGAGGATCTCACGTGGTAGTTAAGAGACCACCTTGCTTCAAATCCTTGCTCTCCTCGCTTCGTGACCGTGAGTAACTGACTTCGTTTTTCTATGTCTCCGTTTTTTCATCTATAAAATAGGATAACGGTGCCGACCTCATAGGGTTTTATGAGGATTACATTAGTTGATCCATTTAAAAGTGCTTGGAGGCCAGGCACAGTGGCTCAGGCCTGTAATTCCAGCACTTTTGGAGGCTGAGGACAGATTGCTTGAGCCCAGGAGTTTGAGACTAGCCTGGGCAACAGAGTGAGACTCCATCTTGATAAAAAATACAAAACTTAGCTGGGCTTTGTAGCATGTGCCTGTAGTCCCAGCTAGTCTGAAGCAGAACGATCACTTAAGCCCCAGAAATTGAGGTTGCCGTGAGCTATGATTGTGTTACTGCACGCCAGCCTGGGCAACGGAGGAAGACTGTCTCATAAATAGATGAATTAATTAAATTAATAAAGAAAAGCCAGTCAGGCACAGTGGCTCACGCCTGTAATCCTAGCACCTTGGGAGGCCAAGGTGGGCAGATCACCTGAGGTCAGGAGTTTGAGACCAGCCTGGCTGACATGATGAAGCCCCGTCTCTACTAAAAAATATAAAAATCAGCCAGGTGTGGTGGCAGGCAACTGTAATCCCAGCTACTCAGGAGGCTGAGGCAGGAGAATCGCTTGAACCCAGGAGGGGGAGGTTGCAGTGAGCTGAGATGGCACCACTGCATTCCAGCCTGGGCGACAGAGCAAGACTATCTAAAATAAAATAAAAGCCCTTGGATCGGGGTCTAGCACATAGTAAGCACTCAGTAGATTCACTCATTTAGGAATGTTTATTGAAACCTTGATTTATGCCAGGAGCTGTCTTTGGGACTGGGGACACAATAGGGAACCAGCTGTTGTTAACCCCGGAGTCACAATAGTTCACGGCAGAATTTGAATCCAGGTCTCACTGATCTCAAACCCCAGGCTGATTATTAAGTGACAGCGTCTCCTGTAGTACAGGAGGCCCAGAGAGTGTTCACAGAGGGTCTTGGCTTAGGGTTTCTTATTAGCAGAGTGAACAGGAGCCAATCACCAAGTGGACATGGTTGATGCTGGGCCGTGGTCCAGTCTAGTTGTTGCTCATTGTCTCGTGGATCCAATCCACATACTTGCAGACTTTGGTGTAGACACCAGGCTTTCGAGTGATCGCACACGGATCCTGGCCCCAGGAGATAATGCCTTGGAGAGAGTGGTTACAGACCAGAGGGCCCCCGGAGTCACCCTGCGCGTGGGGAGAGAGAACATCGGTCAGAGAAAGCGCTGGGCGTGGTGTTGGCCAGGGAGGAGGTGGGGATGGTGCTGGGAGTGGAGTTGAGACTGAGGAGGGGGAGACCTGGGGTTGGTGATAGGTTACTGGATAAGGCTGGGATTATGGGTGGGGTAAATGATGGGGTTAGGCTCAAAAGCGAATTTGGGGACAGTTGGAGCTGGAAACGGGATGGGAACAGGGATGGAGCTGAAGTTTGTGCTGGTTCAGAAATGAGAACGGGGAGAGAGATGGATTGGGAGTTGCAGGGGAGGTGGGCTGAGGTCAGGGGTGAGATTGTGGATGTCAGCGAAGATGTACTCAAAGTTGGGGATGGGGGTGGGGATGTGGCTGGAGACCCAGGCCCTGCCCTCTGACCTGGCAGGAGTCCTTGCCCCCTTCCTGAACGCTGGCACACACCATGGTGTCTGTGATGTTGTTGGGGTAGGCATGCTCACACTCGCGGTGCTCGATGATAGTGATGTTGGCGCATCGCAAGCTGTGAGGCAGGCGCACTGTGGAAACAGCATGAGGGGCTGCGGGGTGACAGTGTGAGGACCCCTGCCATCTCACCTAACGCAGTGCTTGCTGTGACCCAGGCCCTGGGAGAATCCCTGTCCTTAGACACAGCCAACTCACCTCTCTGCTTGTAACAATAGCAACAGCAATGCTATCCAGACAGAGCCTCACTCTGTTGCCCAGGCTGGATCGCAGTGGCATGATCTCCACTCACTAACCTCTGCCTCCCAGGTTTAAGCAATTCTCCTGCCTCGGCCTCCCGAGTAGCTGGGATTGTAGGTGTGCACCACCATGTCCGGCTAACTTTTGTATTTTTAGTAGAGACGGAGTTTCCCCATGTTGGGCAGGCTGGTCTCAAACTCCTGACCTCAAGGGATCCACCCCCCTCAGCCTCCCAAAGTGCTGAGATTACAGGCGTGAGCCACTGCACCCAGCCTGCTATCCAATACATTATTTATGCCAGCTGCTCGATATACATTATCTCTAATCCAATCCTGGCAGGTGGGTATAATTATTCTCATTTTATAGAGGAGAAAATCAAGATTCAGAGAGGTGAAGTCGCTTGCCTAGGTTCCTACAGCCGGGAGTCATGTGTCTGACTGTACATCCCGTCCATCTGACTCCAAGGCCCCAACTTTTGTCTCCACCCTCCCCCGTCCTGACGTTTTCCACGCATCCCCTCAACTTATCCCACCATAGCCACTTTGAACCACATATCTGGTCCCCCGACCCCTTCCACAATGAAAACCACCCCTTCCCCACCACCCCGGGCCGGGTTCCCCCTCTGGAACTCCTACACTGGGGGCTGGATGTGCTGCCCCAGCCGGAAATGAGGCAGCTGGTACCAGCTGTGACACAGCGCGAGGAGAGGGTGAGAGGTCGCACAGCCCAGGTGATGAAGGCTGGCGAGGCCATCTTCACCAGCATGATGTCATTGCGGTGGTCTTTGTTGGGGAGGCTGTTGTTGAAGCCGGGGTGCGGGAAGGACTCGGTGGCTGTCCGGGTCTGCTCACAGCCGTCCCGCCGCTGGAGGTTGTGCTCCCCCAGGTGAACTATGTAGCGGCTGAGGTGGGAGAGACCATGGTTGGAGGAGGAAAGGTGGGAAAAGACACGGGGTGGGGGGAGACGTGGGCGGGAGAGGTGAGTGACACATTTGAGGGTGAAGAAACATCGCTCTTACTTCCAGCCTCTTCCATGTCCCCCAGCCATAGGGGGACCACCCCAACCCCATTCATCCCCCCACCTTCAATCCCAGCTCGAGCCCACCAACCTTGCTGACAGTGCCTGTCCCATCTCTGATCCCCTTCCCGCACCCCTCTCCCCAGCTCCTCTCCATCCATCTCTGCATTCCCAGCCCCCTCCCGGCCCCGCCCCAGCCCCCGCACCCACGGCTTGCGGCAGTGGGCTGCTGTCAGGAGCCATCTGGGGGCGATGAGGGTCGCCCCACAGAGCAGCCGTGTCTTCTCAAACAGGGCTGCCTGCCAGGGCTGGGAGTGAGGTTTGCATTCAAATCCCTTGATGATCCTGGTTTCTCCCGCTACGAGCCCTGGAGGGGGAGAGCAAAAGGAGGCGCTCAGGAAGGAGAGGTGGACTCCCAGAAATGGGGTGGGGAGGAGAGAAGGAGGGGGTGGTCTGGGCCCTCGCCTGGTGTCCCTCTGGTTTGCACGCTGGATGCTGGGGTGGGGTGTTAAAGGATGAAAATGCTTCCATAGGGCCGGGCACAGTGGCTCACGCTGGTAAACCCAGCACTTTGGGAGGCTAAGGTGGGAGGATTGCTTGAGCCCAGGAGTTCAAGACCAGCCTGGGCAAACATAGTGAGATCCTCATCTCTACAAAAAAATTAAACAATTAGTCTAGCTTGGTGGCAGGTGCCTGTGGTCCCAGCTACCGGGGAGGCTGAAATGGCTTAAGGATTCCTTAAGCCTGTGATGGCCCCACTGCTCTCCAGCCTGGACGTAGAGCGAGACCTTGTCTCTGGAAAACAACAAAAACTTCCATACCGGTTTGTCGGTAGTCCCTGTCCTGTTCGCTTTGAGTGACACTCCCGCCGACTCCAGCTTCCCTGGCCCTGCCCTGGGACCCCCTAGGACCCCCTTGGCCTCTCCTCTTTTGGCGTTTAAAGGGATTGTCTGAAAGGCATGCAGGCCCTCATGGCAGCTGCCCCTAGTTCAGAGGTTGTGTGGCTTGTTCTGTGATTTGGAATCGGCCCGTCACGGTCCAGACACAGAGGGTTAGGGGATCCCAGAGACTCAAGAGGGAGGCTCCTGCCCTGCCCCATTCCCTGCCGTACCTGTCACCAGAGCAAGCATGATTAACTGCAGAATCCTCATGGCCTGGAGGGGGGAGGGGCAGGCCCCAGGTTCCTCTGGGAACAAGGAGGAACATGGCTGCATCACTTGACGGGAAAGTCGGGGGCTGGCTCCTGCCCGCTCCTTTCTCCCGCACCTGCTCCTGCACCCCACTTGGGAGAAACAAGGTTGGGGAAACTCCCTGTTTCTCACAGCACTCAGACATCCAAACACTTAAAATATATCTCAGGTGTCGAGGGTGGCCTTGGAGGGGGCCTGGTCGCAGCTCGAAGCTGCCGGGATACCAAGGACCACATGGAGGTTGTTGGGGGGGCTTTGACCCGGCTAGCCGTGGGCTGGCCCCATTTGAGTCAGCCATGGGGCCTCCTTGGCGCATTTCAGAGGATGTTTCCCTTCTTGCCTTGAGAGCTGGCCAGGCCCCAGCAGCTCGGGCTGGAAGGACAGGGGAACCAGGCCCTGTTCCGTAGCCACCCCTTTTTCATTGTCTTCACGGCAGGGTGATATGGAGCCTTTGAGGTCTGCTGGTGGTGGGGGTGGGGGTGCGGGTAGGGAACTCAGCCCCAGACAATGTCTGGGCCTCCCGTCACCCGACTTGCTGAACCCCTGCCCCTTTGAAGGACAGCCAAGCAGAGCTGGGCGGAGCTGGTCGAGGGGAGGGCCAGTGCCCTCAGCTGCCCTGTCCAGCGGGGGTGGGAGCAGAGGGCCGGCTCAGCAGCTGAAGCCATGGAGATCAGAGGTAACCGACGCTGTGGTCAGCCATTGAAGGTGAGAGGCACAGAGAGAGGCTAGGAACCCCCACCCAAGCAGAGAAGGACAGAGCAGAGGGAGAAATGGGTGCCTGAGAGGGACAGGTGTCCTTGGGGAGGGCTGACACCTGGAGTGGGGGCTTCCCTTTCCTCCTGGACTCACGGGATCTGGGGCTGGGGCTCTGGGGGCCCGGCGGTGGCGGCGGCGGCTGCGGCAGGTCGGTTGGGTTGGAGTGCCAGGTGCCAGGCACCAGGCAGGCGGGCAGGCGGGGGGTGGCCCCGGGCGGGCCCAGGATGACTGGCCTCCAAGCCCTGCCTTAATGCCCCGGGGTGGGGTGTGTGTGTGGGCCCTCCCCGAAGGCCTCCGAGGCACTGCCTGCCTGCCTGTGCCACCTCTGCAAGCCCCTCTTCTCCCTGCGTCTCAGCGTCCCTCCGTCTGTCTGTCTGTCGTCTGCAACCTTCCTTTCCCTGCCCTGAGTCTCTGAATCTGCGTCTCGCCCCATGGGTCATTCCCCGTCATTTGGTAATTCTGACTTTGCGTGCATGTGTGATTTTTCTCTTTCTGTCTCTACGTGTCTGTCTGCCGTTCTCTGTCCTTGTCCCCGTCTTCACCTCCATACTTCTCTCTCCAGCCGGCTCTGGGTGGCCCTTTCTCTAATTCCTTCTATCTCTGTGTCTCTCAGTCAGTCTCTGACTGCACCTCTGTCTTGCAATGTCTCAAAATCTCTCTCCCTCCATCTAATCTCCGTCTCTCTCTTTCCTTCTGTCCCAGCCACTCCCTCTCCACAGCCCCAGCCCAGGTGGGCCCCTGGCCTCCCCTAGGCTGCTCCCTTCTCCTTTGCAAGGTGGGGATGCTGGGGTGTCACAGAGGTGGGGCTGCTGCCAGGCACAGGGGCAGGACCGAGGAGGGTGGGGGAGGCAGGTCAGGGCCTGTGGAAGCCGAGTTCAGGAAAGGGAACAGAGTCCTCGGCTGCGCCCCACCCCAGGGCTCTTCTGGGGCCCTGCTTCTCGGCTGACCCTTCCCCTGCCCCCTTCTCCCTGCCTCCCAGTCTGGCTGTTCACTTACTGGCTGCTGCGAGACCTCTGCCTGATGACTTCCCGTCCTGCAGCCACCTCTGCATCTGCAAACCCCGTGCGCGGACTCCTGCTTCTCCCAGCTTGTCTGTTCTCACCCAGGTCCCTTCCCTTGGCATTCCTCCCCTCTCTCTCCTAACCAGATGTGGAGCAAGGCAGGGGAGGGCCTAGATTCTGACGGCAGCCAGCCCTGGCCTCCAACCTAGGTGCTTCCCCTTCCTACCACTATGACTACCCTTATGACGTGGGGACAAGGGACTCCACCCCTTCGAGGCTCAGTTTCTTCATCTGAGAGATGGGGTTGACAGACCTGTGCAAGATTGCAGGGGAAGTTGGGATCAGGCCTCCAGGAGGGTCCATTTGGAAAGAGCAGACTGCAGCGGGGCTCAGCAAATGCAGCTCGGCTATTAGGATTGCCTGTCCCTCCCTCCCTCCCTCCTCCAGGTCCCCTTCAGTGCATTTGGGGAGATGTTCTCTCCTCACCTCCTGAGTCCCAGTGGAGACAGAATCCAAGGGGTGGGCAGGAGAATTTTAAGATGTAGGCTGAGCGCTCTTGCTTTCCAAGGCTGCACCCCACCCTTCATCATCGCATACATATTAGAACAAAGCCGCATCCCACATTGAAGATACAATGTATACTTGATTACAAGAAAGTAAACTGCCTTTGGCTAGTGGAAAGAACGTTATGTTTTATGGACATTGAATTAAATGGTCATGAATGTTGATTTGGCAGCTTTCATCTGGTATTCTGGAGCTAACAACTTTCTTTTTTTGGGGGGGTTGTTTGTGGACCATTGAAAATCTTATAAGCTCTGGGCACTGCTATCATGCCGGATGAAAAAACATGGCTCTTATTTATATTATTGGGTTTTTGTTTTGAGATAGGGTTTCACTTTATTGCCCAAGCTGGAGTGCAGTGGGTGATCTTGGCTTACTGCAGCCTCTACCTCCCTGGCATGGGTGATCTTCCCATCTCAGCCTCCCAAGTAGTTGGGACTACAGGCACATGATACCACACCCAGCTAATTTTTTGTATTTTTATAGTGACGGGTTTCACCATGTTGCCCAGGCTGATCTTGAACTCCTGAGCTCAAGCAATCCTCCCGCCTCAGCCCCTCGGCCTACCAAAGAGCTGGGCTTACAGGTGTGAGCCACCACACCTGGCCTATATTATTATTATTATTATTATTATTATTATTATTTTCTTTTTTTCAGACGGAGTTTCGCTCTTGTTACCCAGGCTGGAGTGCAATGGCGCGATCTCGGCTCACCGCAACCTCCGCCTCCTGGGTTCAGGCAATTCTCCTGCCTCAGCCTCCTGAGTAGCTGGGATTACAGGCACGCGCCACCATGCCCAGCTAATTTTTTGTATTTTTAGTAGCGACGGGGTTTCACCATGTTGACCAGGATGGTCTCGATCTCTTGACCTCGTGATCCACCCTCCTCGGCCTCCCAAAGTGCTGGGATTACAGGCGTGCGCCACCGCGCCCGGCTGGCCTATATTATTATAAGTAACGTTTTCTACTCCATTTCTAAGTGACTACTCAGGGAAGATCCTCATCCTATTTGAGCTCTTTTTCTTTTTTCTTTTCTTTTTTTTGAGATGAAGTCTCACTCTGTCACCCTGGCTGGAGAATGATGGTGCGATCTCGGCTCACTGCAGCCTCTGCCTCCCTGGTTCAAGCAGTTCTCCTGTCTCAGCCTCCTGAGTAGCTGGGATTACAGGAATGCACCACCATGCCTGGCTAATTTTTGTATTTTTAGTAGCGATGGGGTTTCACTGTGTTGGCCAGGCTGGTCTCAAACTTCTGATCTCAGGTGATCCACCCACCTTGGCCTCCCAAAGTGCTGGGATTACAGGCGTGTGCCACCATACCCAGCTAATTTTTTATTTTTATTTTCATATTTTTGTAGAGATGGGGTTTCGCCATGTTGGCCAGGCTAGTCTCGAACTCCTGACCTCAACTGATCCACCTGCCTTGGTCTCCCAAAGTGCTGGGATTACAGGTGTGAGCCACTGCGACTGGCCTTATTTGAGCTCTCTTTCTACACCTATGAGATAAGGAAACCGTTGAGTCCTTCTTCCAGTCTCAACTAGCATGGGACATCAAATGGACAGACATGGTCTCTCCTTCATTTGTATTTATTCCAGACCGTTGCACACTTCTCTCACCCCACTCATGGGTCTCAGAAGGGCTGGTAGGAGTTAAAGTTCCAAGAAGTTCCCCAGGCCAACAAGAGTGGAGCTGGGGGAAATGAAGGAGGAGGTATTGGTGCTCTGAGGGTTGGAGTGGCACCCAAGCCAAGGGGTGCAGGTGGAGGATACAGGTCAGTTGGTCCTCATGATCATCCGGATCCAGTCCACATACTTGCACACATAGGTGTAGACTCCAGGGATGCCATCTTGTCCACAAGGCCCCACAGACCCCCAGGACACCAGACCTTGAAGGACTCCGCCACACACCAGGGGGCCTCCAGAGTCCCCCTGGAAGGGAAGAGGAGAAATACTGTCTGAACAAGGGAGACATCTTATTCCTGTTTTCCTCCCCAACCCTCCAACCCAGTCCCGGGTCTTGGGGAGGGCTCCAAGCCTGGTCATCAGACAAAAGAGTACAATCACTTTCCCAGAGGACAATGGCAATGGCTAACCAACAGAGAAGAGCCACTGTCTCTAGGGGTCAATCCCAGGTAAGAAGGGTGAAGCTCCATAAAAAACAGAGGTTCTCCCAAGGGCAATGACTGGGGCCCTGACCAATGAGGAGAGAGAGCACCATCTTCCAGTCTCTCTCAGTGTGGGACAGCACCAACTGGAGGACAGTATGGGAAAGACTTAGAGCCCCAGAAACAGCTGGTTCCCTGTCTGGGCCCCCAGGCCTCTCTGTCTCTTTTGCTGCCTCTCTCTGGTCTTGCCTTCTCTGTTCCCTTCCTCCCTCCCTCTCTCCTTGACCCTCCCCCTCTTCCGTTTCCTGGTCTTCCCTCCTATTCCCTGTCTCTCCCTTCCTTATCCTGGGCCTCCTCTCCATTTTTTTTTTTTTTTTTTTTTTTTTTTTGAGACAGACTCTGTTGTCAGGCTGGAGTACAGAGACGATCTTGCTCATTGCAACCTCCGCCTGCCAGGTTCAAGCGATTCCCCTGCCTCAGCCTCCCAAGTAGCTGAGACCACAGGCATGCACCAACACGCCTGGCTAATTTTGGCATTTTTAGTAGATTCAGGGTTTCACCATGTTGGCCAGGCTGGTCTTGAACTCCTGACCTCAAGTGATCCACCTGCCTCAGCCTCACAAAGTGCTGGGATTACAGGCATGAGCCACCGCGCCTGGCACCTCTCCTCCTTTTTGACCCCATCTCTCTCCAGCATCCCCTTTCCCTGATTCATCCTCCATCACTTCCCCTCCTGCTTCCAGCCTCTCCCCTTCCCTTCCTGTCCTGGTGGCCACACACACTGCCTGCACTGGCTCACCTGGCAGGCGTCCTGCCCCTTCACACCACCTGCACACACCATGTTGCTCGTGATTCTCCCAGGGTACACGTCACTGCAGGTGGCATGGGAGACGATGGAGAGGTTGAGGCACTGGAGCAGATCCGGGAATGGGTCTGGAGAGGGAACATCATGCTGCAGGGTTCTCTACAGCTCCCCACTTTGAGGCATGTCCCTCCCCACTGGATGTGGCCCATCCAAGTCAATACCACTGCCCCTCGCCAACCTGTACTACAATCCTGACACCCCCAAATTACATATTTATGACTTAATTTCATATGACTCACGACCCCAGATGATTGACAGTCTTTTTGACCTTTGACATTTGACTTTGAGTGGCAAAACTCAAGACCCTCCTTGTCTCTCCAGCCTCAGAGACAACAAATCCAGACGTGACCCTCTTCAATGACAGATACTGTGACCTTTGACCTTCTATCTTATTACCTTATGATCCCAGCTTGATCTCATATCTTCTGTCTCCTGACCCCATGTCCCTGTGTTCACCTTAACCTCCAGCCTCGGCTCTGTGTATTCCAAACCTCACTGCTTCCAACTCCAAAGTGTCCTCTGATCCCAGTTTATTCAACCCCAGGCTCCATGACCCCAGCCCTTGGCCCCCACACCCCAGATGCTGTGATCTTCAATCTCAGATATGTGATTTTTGATAGAATGCCAATTTCCATCCTCAGATTCTGACCAGATTGTACAAGCTCTGGATCCCATGACCTTAATTCTACAGTGACCTCTGACCCCAGAGACCATGATCCACAAAGCCCAGATCCTATTTCTATATAAATATGCCTTTTGCTCCCGTATGAGGACCCCTGACACACTCTGACCTCTGACCACATCTCTGACCTCTGATCCCTGACTTCATCCCTTAACTCCTTTGACTCCCAAGACCCCAGTCCACCACGATCTCTGATCCGGACCCATGCCCCTGACGTTCCACCCCACACCCTGGCCCTTTACCCACCCTTTCTCTGAGGTATCATGATTCCACCTCTCACCCTGCATCCCAGACTTGTACCTACCCTGACCCCTGACCCCTGACCCCAGGCCCCTTACTCCATGGGTGGTTGGTGATGCCCCAGCCCGAGACGTGGCACCTGGTGCCGGTGGTTGCACAGTCACTGGGCAGGGGCAGAGGCTGAACACTGCTCGTTATGCGGGCAGGCAGGCCCAGCCGCAAAAGCCGGAGGTCGTGCTCGTGGTTTCTCGAGGCTCCCTGGTAGCCGGGGTAGGTCACGGAGAAGCTGCTGCGCCGGATCTGCTCGGTCCAGTCGAGCTTGCTGAGGCTGTGCTCCCCCAGGCGCACCCAGTACCTGCTGCGGGTGGCAGCGGCTCAGCCGGTGGCAAGCGGGCAGCCCCCACCTCGCACCCCTCCACGGACACACCCAGGTCCTCCTGCCGCTCCCCACTGCTCTGCCTCTCACTGTCCTCTCACCCGTGCCTCACATTCTGCAAGTCTCCCTTGCAGGCTCTCATTCCTGACCTCTGTCACCCTCTTTCCGTCTTGGGTGTTCACTCTGTTTCTCCCCCCATGCCCTGCATCTGTGTCTCTCTCTCTCTCTCTCTCTTTTTTTTTTTTTTTTCTGAGATGGAGTCTTGCTCTGTTGCCTAGTCTGGAATGCAGTGGCACAATCTTGGCTCACTGCAGCCTCCACCTCCCGGGTTCAAGCAATTCCCCTGCCTCAGCCTTCCAAGTAGCTGGGATTACAGGCGCCTGCCACCACACCCGACTACTTTTTGTATTTTTAGTAGAGATGAAGTTTGACCATGTGGGTCAGGCTGGTCTCGAACTCCTGACCTCAAGTCATCTGCCTGCCTAGGCCTCCCAAAGTGCTGGGATCACAGGCATGAGCCACTGCTCTTGGCCTCGATTTCTGATTCTCTTGGCCGATGAAGCTCACGAAGGCAGGGACATTAGTGGGCCTTGTTCACTGCCTGCTTCCCACGACCTGGCATGGAGCATGTGCTGTCCATGCTGCTGACTGAATGAATGAGTGGGAGATGAATGGTCTCTCTCCGTCCTGCTGCTGGCCCTCTCTGTCCCTGAGTCTCTTTGTTTCTTTGCATCTAAGCTCCCCTTTCACAAAAAAGTTCCAGGCCAGGCACAGTGGCTCATGCCTGTAATCCCAACACTTTGGGAGGTCAAAGCAGGAAGAATGCTCGAGCTGAGGAGTTTGAGACCAGCCTGGGCAACACAGCGAAACCCTGTCTCTGCAAAAAATTTAAAAATTATCCGGGTGTGGTGGTGCGGAGCTGTAGTCTCAGCTCCTCGGGAGGCTGAGGTGTGAGGATCACTTGAGCCCACGAGGTTGAGACTTCAGTGAGCCAAGATAGCATTACTGCACTGCAGCCTGGGTGACAGAGCAAGACTCTGTCTCCAAAAAAAGAAAAAGAAAAGAAAAGAGAAGAAAAATTCCAAAGCATCAGTCCGCTGAGGCCCAGAGAGGCACCAGGCGTAATCTCTGAGGTTGCACAAAGAGTTTGGGTCATGTTGGCCGGGCACAGTGGCTCACGTCTGTAATCCCAACACTTTGGGAGACCAAGGCAGGCGGGTCTCTTGAGGCCAGGAGTTTGAGACCAGCCTGGCCAACATGGCAAAACCCCATCTCTACAAAAAATACAAAAATTAGCTGGACGTGGTGGCGGGTGCCTGTAATCCCAGCTACTTGGGAGGCTGAGGCAGGAGAATCACTTGAACCAGGAGGCGGAGGTTGCAGTGAGCTGAGATAGCACCATTGCACTCCAGCCTAAGCTGTCTCCAAAAAAACAAAAAAGCAAAGAGTTTGGCTCAGACATGGGCCCAAGGCCCAGACTGGGTCATGGGATGGCTGGGAAGTGGCAGTCGTCACATAGGAAAGAAGGGGTACATGCAGTAACAGGAGGGGCAGGTGGGCAGTTTCCAGGATCCTCCCTGGCCCTCCACCCCCACACCTCACTCCACCCAGCACCACCCCAAGCCCACTGCTAAGGAAGTTCCACTCCTGGTCTAACCTCAGCAGACTCTCTTGTTGCAGGACCAGCTTCTTCCCCATGGGCACTGCCCTCCCTTGTGATCCTACCCTCAGCACTTGCGTTCCCATAGTCCTCCCTTCGCCCACGCTAGGAAGGGGCTCAGCCTGGGGCTTACCTGCCACTGCAGTGAGCCGCTGTGAGGACCCACCTGCGGTCAATAAGGACACCCCCGCAGTGCAGTCTGGTGCCCTCAAACAGCCCCACCTGCCACGGCTGGGAGTTACGCCCACACTCGGTGCCATTGTAAATCTTCGATGTGGTTGCCTGGCTGAGCCCTGGGGACAGACAGGGGCACGGGTCAGACACAGGAAAAGATAGTGTGATAGAGAGACACAGAGAGAGAGAGAGAAACAGGCAGGAGAGAAACAGAGAGAGACCCAGACATGGTGGCGGGTGCCTGTGATCCCATCAAAATCCCTATAGAACAAAAACCGTGAAATACCAAAGAGAGCAGGGAGAAAGATGCTTACACTTGGGAGGGAAATGGCGAGACAGAGATTCAGAGAGGGATGGAAGGGAAGAGGGATCAAAAGATAGGGGAGGCCGAGGTGAGCAGTGCCGTGAGAGCTGCAGGTAAATGGAGGCACAGAGAAAGCCCCTCCCCTCCTCGCCACCAGGCTGGGGGCCAGAGCTGAGATGGGGAGAAGGGGCCTCCTCTTGAGGGATGGAGGGACCCAGCCCCAGTCCTGCCCTCTCCCTGCTCCAGGAGAACTCACCAAGAACACACAGGAGCAAAAAGATGCTGGCCCCCATGATGGGTCACCTCCGAAGTCTGGGGGTAAAAGGGGAATATCAGAAGTCACCCTTTTCCCCGTGTCCCCCACCTCTGCCCTCTCTGCTTCTCTTTGAAGGTCACCAAGGGGATGACCTTCTTGTCCTCTCTCTACCTGCTCCCCTGTATGTGACTCCCTCATTGGCAGTCACCTACCTCCTTCTCACCTGGTCTCTTTGTCTGCCGGTCCTCTACGTGGCTGTCGTGGCTGTCGTGGCTGTGACGGTTCGGCCCGAGTCACTGCTATCCCTCTGTCCACCTACCTGCCTGTGCTCTCATCTGCTGGCCGCTCCACCAGCCAACTCTCCCACTCTGCACCTGGCTCCTCAGCCACCTGTCATGTTGCTCAACCTGTCCCCTTCCTTCTGTCTGTTGCTGCAGACAGACCACTGACAAAGAAGCTCTTAACTCTCTCTGTCCTGGCGCATCCAGTTTCCGGGTTGAGGGAAGGGGACCAGGAAGACAGGGGTGGGGCGTCCTGTAATTCGGCAGAAACCCTTCTTAGCTAATCACACTTAATTGAGCTTTACAGCTAAATGGAGTGGAGAGGGAGGAAAGGACCCAGGGTGGGAAGACCCAGCCCCACTCCCTCTCCCCTAGGCAAGCCAGCCAGCAGCCCCAGGACTGATGACTCAAGGTGACTGGGGAGCTGGGTTCTAATCCCGACTCCAGTGACAAAGGAGGGTGGGGAGACCTTGGCCACCTGGGGTCTGTCCCCATGCAGTGCAGAGGAGGGGCAGGGGGAAAGAGAGGTTGTGAAAGGAGAGTGGATGGGAGGGGCAGGAAGGCTGAGCTGGAAGGAGTCCCAGAAAGAGACGAGATAAAGGAACAGACTTCCAAATAGGCAGAAGAGAACCGAGTTCCACAGTTATATATATATATATATGAAGTTGATCAACCTAATTCCATAAAGTTTTTCTTTGCATAAGAACGTCTATTGCTTAAATAAAACCCACAGAGAAAAAAGACACAGGGAAGGAGAAATGGCAGAAAGAGAGAAAGAAAAAAAATGAAAGAGAGAGAGAGAATGAATCATAGGACAAGGGAACTTTGTGCTGTTGTTTGTTTTTTGTTTGGAGATAGAATCTGGTTCTGTTGCCCAGGCTGCAACCTCCGCCCCCTGGGTTCAAGCGGTTCTCGTGCCTCAGCCTCCCAAGTAGCTGGGATTACCGGCACGTGCCACCATGGCTGGCTAATTTTTGTATTTTTAGTAGAAATGGGGTTTCGCCGTGTTGGCCATGGTGAAACTCCTGGTCTCAAGCGACCTGCCCATCTTGGCCTCCCAAAGTGCTGGGATTACAGGTGTGAGCCATGGTGCCTGGCCCCTGTGCTGGTTTATCTGAATGTTTGCTTCATTTAAGAGTAATGGAGGCCGGGCGCGGTGGCTCACGCCTGTAATCCCAACACTTTGGGAGGCCGAGGCGGATGGATCACGAGGTCAAGAGATCAAGACCATCCTGGTCAACATGGTGAAACCCCGTCTCTACTAAAACTACAAAAAATTAGCTGGGCATGGTGGCGCGTGCCTGTAATCCCAGCTACTCAGGAGGCTGAGGCAGGAGAATTGCCTGAACCCAGGAGGCGGAGGTTGCGGTGAGCCGAGATCGCGCCATTGCACTCCAGCCTGGGTAACAAAAGCGAAACACCAAATCAAAAGAAAAATGAAAAAAAAAAAAGAAAAGAAAAAAACAGAGTAATGGAAGGAGAGAAAGAAGGAGGGAGAGGGGACAGAGAGAGAAAATGAGAACAAAAAGGGAATCAGACTCAGAGGAAGGGAGATTGAGGAACGAACCAAGAGAAAAGCAGAGAGACAGAACAAAACAAGCAAAACAACCCAGAACATAGCAGAGGAGAGGAAACCCCCACCCTGTGAGTGTCTCTTAGTCCTGCACTTTCTCTCTGTGTTTCCAGTCTCTGTCCCTGTCTTCTTTTCAGAATCACAGAACCTTAGCTTTTGATTTGCTCTTAGAAACTGCCTAACTGCTTTAACACATCACTGGTCAGTGGTGATGGCTGTTGATAGCCCCTGGTCCCCACAAAGCCTCCTGCTGGCTGTTAGCACGTTCCTTCCTTGGGCAGAGAGAAAAAAGCACCATGACTGTCCTTTCTCTGGAAAGGACACAATTTACACACTCACAGCACAAAAGCGGCACTTCTTCCTTTTTCTGGTATCAAGTTTTACAGTAAACCTCAAATGAATAAGCAAAAACAAAAACAAAAAAACCCCAAAATGACCTAACTCAATCTCTCTCTTTTTCTTTTTTGTGGATTTTTAGGGAATCAGGTTTACCAAGGTGGAATTTATATCCAGTAAAATTGAATATAAAAAATGAGGCAGGGTCCCTGATTTTAAGGAGCATTCATACAAATTAAATATTACCGTGCATAATTAGTAACAATGTACTGTGTACTTGAAAACTACTGACAGAGTAGGGTTTAAGTGTTCTCACTACAAGTAAATGTAAGTATGGGGCTGGGTATGGTGACTCGTGCCTGTAATCCTAGCACTTGGGAAGGCCGATGTGGGAGGATGGATTGAGGGCAGGAGTTAAAGGCCAGCCTGGGTAACATAGTGAGACTCCATTTTTACAAACAAAAAGTTAGCCAGCCATGGTGACACATGCTTGGAGTCCTGGCTATGTGGGAGGCTGAGGTGGGAGGATCAGTTGAGCCTAGGAGTTCGAGGCTGCAGTGAGCTATGATTGCACCACTGCACTCCAGCCTCGGTAACAGAGTGTGACCCTGTCTCAAAAAAAAAAAAAAAAAAAAAGATTAAGGTCAGGCTTGGTGACTCACGCCTATAATCCCAGCACTTTGGGAGGCCAGGGCAGGTGGATCACGAGGTCAAGAGATCGAGACCATCCTGGTCAACATGGTGAAACCCCATCTCTACTAAAAATACAAAAATTAGCTGGGCGTGGTGGCGCATGCCTGTAGTCCCCGCTACTCGGGAGGCTGAGGCAGAAGAATTGCCTGAACCCAGGAGGCGGAGGTTGCGGTGAGCCGAGATTGCGCCATTGCACTCCAGCCTGGGTAACAAGAGTGAAACTCTGTATCCAAAAAAAAAGATTAAATGTAAGTACATGGGACAATGCATCTATGAATTAGCTTGTTTTAACCATTCCATAATGTTATATATTTCAATTTTTTGTGTTGTGCACCAATATATACAATTTTAGTGTTGATTTAAAAATAAATATGTAATTTTTATTTGAAAAATTTCTCCCTTCAGGTTCATTGGGTCTCAAAAGATGAAGTCAGTCACCCAAAGTGGCAGAACTGGAGGCTGAACCACTTTAGAGCCTGTATTCTTTATCATTATCTAAACATGTGAATGAACAAATAAATGACTAACTGAATTAGTAAGTACAGACATGAGTAGATGAATCATATATTTTTAAATATTTATTTTTAAATTAACACATTAAAACTGTATATATTTAGGATACACAACACAAAATTTTGAAATATGTAACGTTGTGGAATGGCTAAGTCAAGTTAATTCATGCATGTATTGTCTCATCGGATCAATGTTTCTACAGGTTTAAAAGAAAGAATAGCTAGCCAGGTGTGGTGGCTCATGCCTGTAATCCCAGCATTTTGGGAGGCTAAGGTGGGCAGATCACCTGAGGTGGGGAGTTTGAAACCAGCCTGACCAACATGGAGAAACCCTGTTTCTACTAAAAACACAAAATTAGCTGAGTGTGGTGGCACATGCCTGTAAGCTACTCTGGAGGCTGAGGCAGGAGAATCACCTGAACCCAGGAAGCAGAGGTTTCGGTGAGCCGAGCTCACACCATTGCACTCAGCAATACAGACTCAGGTCTGTATGATTCCAAAACCTATTCTCTTTTTTTATTTTTTTTTATTTTTGAGATGGAGTTTAGCTCTTCTTGCCCAGGCTGGAATACATATACACTGTGGAATAACTAAATTGAGCTAACTAACATATGTATCCCTCACATCCTTATTTTGTGTGCATGTGGTAAGAACACTTAAAATCTGCTCTCTTAGCAATTTTTGAGTCCCATAGTCCCTGCCTATCCAGTGAAAATATGTTCCGAGATCATGGAGAGTACCTATCATAAAATTTAATTTACAAATTAGGCATAGTAAGAAATTAACCACAATAACGAATCATAATACAATAAAACAATTATAACAATGCACTGTAATAAAATTATATGTATGTGGTCTCCCTCTCTCAAAATGTCTTATTGTACTGTATTGTACCCACCTATTGTGGGACTGCGGTTGACCACAGGTACCTGTACTGTGGAAAGGAAGCCTCAAATAAGGAGGGACTGCTGTCTACGATACAGTGTTATTAACTGGAGTTACCATGTTGTACTAATACCGTACATCTCTTAAACTTATTCCTCCTGCACTGCAGGTACACGCCACCATGCCCGGCTAATTTTTCAAATTTTTTGTAGAGATGAGGGTCTGACTATGTTGCCCAGACTTGACTCAAATTCCTGGGCTTAATCGATTCTCCTACCTTGGCCTCCTGAAGTGCTGGGATTATAGGTGTGAGCCACTGTGCCTGGCCAGCAACTTCTTATAAAGTTAAATGTATGCTAGCCAGGTGTGGTGGCTCACGCCTATAATCCAAGCACTTTGGGAGGCTGAGGCAGGTGGATCACCTCAGGTCAAGAGTTCGAGACCAGCCTGACCAACATGGTGAAACCCGGTCTCTACTAAAAATACAAAAAATTAGCTGGGCATGGTGGTGTGTGCCTGTAATCCCAGCTACTCAGGAGGCTGAGGCAGGAGAATTGCTTGAACTGGGAGGCAGAGGTTGCAGTGAGCCAAGATCATTCCATTGCACTCCAGCCTGGGCAACAAGAGCAAAACTCTGTCTCAAAGAAAAACAAAAAAAGTTAACAGTATGCGTATCATACAATCCAGCAATTCCACTTCGAGGTGTCTTCCCAAGAGAAAGGAAAGCATATGCCCACACGATGATTTGTACATTAATATTCATAGCAGCCTTATTTGTAATTGCTGGTAACTGGAAACCACCCAAATATACAACTAGTAAATGGATGAACAAGTTGTGGTGTTCCACTATGGATACTGCTCAGCAACAGAAAGGAATGAACTTAAACTTTTTGTAAAGATGGGGGTCTCATGATGTTGTCCAGGCTGCCAAGGAGTTAATCCAAACCTGATTTAACCCCTGGGGTCCTTAAACCCAATGAAGCCACCATTGCCATGAAGAAGGCCCCTGACCATGATAATACTGGTTTGAGAATTTCTGGAGGAAAAAAAATCGACTATAAATATAAATAGGATAGAGGGGACCCACTCCTACTCTAAAACATATCAAGTCAGCATTAAAAAAAAAAGATGAAAAAATTTCAGCATAGTATGGGTATACCACAACTTGTTTATCCATTTACTGGCTACTGTATATTTGGGTTGATTCCAGTTTCTGGCAATTACAAATAAGGCTGCTATGAACATTCATATACGAGTCATCATGTGGACATATGTTTTCCTTTCTCTTGGGAAGACATCTTGAAGTGGGATTGCTGGATTGTATGATAAGCATACAGCTAACTTTATAAGAAGTTGATAATATTGATTTGAGGTTCTCTGGAGGAAAAAAAATAGAATATAAATATAAATAGGGTAGAGAGGACC